GATTTTTTCTATGGTCTGCTACTGTTAGAGCATGCCATTCGTATGGTCTTGACGTATTCAAGTGGTTTTGCCTCTAATAATAATTAGAAGGATATCATTGTTTTTGCAATTGAATGCCAAGATGATAGGAATTTGGGAGGAAAAATTGAAGAATTGTGTTGTATGTTTTTGTCTTTATTCAGCAAAATACTGTTACATCTGACTCCGAGAAAATTTTTTTTTAACTGTTGAACTTTTAATGCGCTAGATTTTTACTTGACGGTAAAGTAGAACTGAAACTGGGGCTAGCTCAAAAATGCTTTTCGTAATTTTACCAGTTCTTGTCAAATAACTTTTTTTTTGCATGCTGCTGACTTTGAATTACCAAAAAAAAAAAATCCCTCTCGATTCGGATTGTTTTGCTGTAGTGTTGGTTATTTGAAACTGCGTTAAATTTTGTTTCAATCTAATAATTTATGATTTTTTACCATTTCGTTGCTAGTTTACCCTACTAATTTATGCCAATATTATGTAAATTAAGTTCGCAAAACTGCAAATTGTATGCTTTAGTATTTATTCGCGTACACCTTATTAAGCTCTTCTATAGCCGTTGATTGTGAACTACTGTTTTTAGAAAGCCTTCGAGAGGGATTCAATTTCTAGTAAATTGGGGCTTTGTTGAACATACTCCAGAAGCTGTCGCAAAACTTTTAATTGGCCGTCGTGGCTTAAGTAAACAAATGATTGGAGAGTATTTGGGCAATTTACACGACCCTTTTTCGTCATCGGTCTTGGAGTATGTTTTGTCTCATTTCCTTATTTTAGGGATTCTTTTTTGCTGTTGTTTGAAAATCAAAGTAAAATTTGAAGTTATTGGATTTTTTTGATTACGGTGTACACTGACTGTCACGTTTGCTGTTTTTAGACATTTTATCAATGAAATTAATCTTCATAACATGGAGATTGATGTTGCTCTTCGACATGCACTTGGATTCTTTCGTCTACCTGGGGAAGCTCAAAAAATCGATCGTATTATGCAAGTAAGCACAGAAGGTTTCTTTAGTAGATAAATTCCACTTTGGGACTGTTCAAGTCGCTCTATAATTACAAGGCAAATTACAGGTCTTTTCTCAAAGGTATGCTGCATGCAATCCGAATTGTGTGGCCTTATTTCATGGTGCCGATACTGTATACATTTTGTCATTTGCAATTATTATGCTCAATACGGACCTGCATTCACCAAATATTAGGCCATCAAGAAGGATGAAATTGGAAGATTTTATAAAAAATCTTCGTGGAATTGATGCCGGTTTTGACATTGATAGGTATCTATCAAAATATCAATTATGTGTTCAAAGTAACGAGTTCTCTGCTTGACTTTTATCATTTGGTTTGTTTTCAGAAACTTGTTGATAGGTATTTATGAAAGGATCAAGGAAAAAGAATTTCGTTCAGGCTCTGATCATGTCACGCAGGTCATGAAAGTTGACCAAAGTATTGTCGGCAAAGAAAAACCGGTAAATGTTTTCAGAGTCTGTGTTTGATTTCATTGGTTTTTGAATTTTTGCCTCATAGTTGCTAAATTTTTCAATTTATACTTCTATTTTCTTTGAGGGCAAAGACTTTCTTTGTTTATACTAATTTCGCTACTTAATTTGTTGCAGAAGTTGGTGGAACCGTATCGACGGCTAGTATGTTACTGTAGACTGAATCAGATATCTGACCGCATTAAACGACAAGCTTCTAATGCCCACCAACGAGAAGTTTTCCTTTTCAACGATTTAATGTTGGTAGGTGTATTGCCTTTCAGTTATCTTTTGTGTAATTTTAGGGTTTTTCTTTTTTTTGAATTTGTAATTCACAAATACAGTTACTGAAGTTTCTTAGATAATTCGTGTTTGTAGGTCGCTAAAACTGCAAGTAAAAAGAAGTCTTGTTCCCAGTATCTCTTACGTTCGTGGTCTAGTTTACTTGGTATGCGTGTTAGATTCTTTGAATCAAATTACTATCACTATGGAATCTCGCTTGTTTATCCTGATGGGGAAGAACTTCTTCTGCACGCAAAAAATGATGATGATAGGTAGGTGGCAACTTAGTTTATGCATGAACAATTAGTTTTGAACTTACTGACCATTTGTTTATTAAACTGTTTTTATCGCATTAGATTAGATTAATTTTTGTTTATTGAATGGCTGATTTTAAGACATCGCTTTGTTGCTGATGTAAGGGAATCAATTGCCGAATGCACAGAAATGGAAGCCATTCGGATTGAAGTTGAACTTGATAAGCACTCAGGTTTAGACCGAAGTGAAAGTCAGCGAGATTCTGGCTTACCTGATATTGATGCGCAGAACGGTAGTTCTATATCAAATGGCTCGACTTCATCTCATCATTTACCTCAGTCTATGCACCGGCTTAGTTTAAACTCCTTGGACAGTGGGGTTATTGAAGGTACTTGCGATCTTCCTGCTTCATAGTTGGTGTATAGAACAGCTAGCTTCTTTTAGTCGAAATCGGTTTCATGAACTATAGAACTTTTACCAATTTTTTATGGCTGCATGTAAAAAAAAGGAATTGGTCGTTGTAATGAAGTACACTTTTTGCTTTGTACTCACACTAATCACTGAACAGGTAATGTTGATCTGTAGTCAGATGGAGTTGCAAAATGTGTCTTTTTTCACCTATTGCCGTTTTTTCTTCTTTTCAAATCTTTGGTGTAAGATTGCCTGAATGTTGAAGATGAAATTTTCAGTTGACGTTTTAGGATGACTTTTTTACAATTCTTCAAGAAAGATAAATTTTTTTGATTAGTTTAAGATAGTCTACCATGCGTATTTTCAATTTTGAATTTAACAGTGTAAACATTGAACCAAAGTCATTTCTTCGTAATATTTATTAGCAGTTCACTAGTTGAAGAAGTGTAGCCTTACCATATTGTAACAATAACAACTCCTTCTCTTTTTCCGCTTCTTATACTCTGCTATATTATGCTGGATAGCTAGCTGTTTGAACAGGTATATGAAAACTGTCTTCATTTATTGATACATCTTGTCTCTTCTTATTCGGGTAGATTATGATCGTATTCAGACGGAAGGAAAAAATATATTTTTTGCTGCTTATTTTCTTTCAATTTTATAAGGAGCAGTATTCCTTAGTTCAACTTTCATTGCCAATTTTTTTGCACAAAGTTAATCGTAAATTTTTTTTTTTTGAATTTCAATAATTTCTTGATTCTTCCATCAAATCTGTGGTCACCTGTGATTCTAAATCTTATTTCCTCTCTTTTCCTCTTCCAAAAAAAAAAAATTGTTTCTAATCAGCAGCACTTCTGTTACGGTGTGCTTTGTGGAAGGCTAATTTTTTTTGCTGATTCAGGAATTGTTATTATTGCTGTTTTTCTCTTTCTTTTTTTTATACTTTTTCAAAAGTTGCAATAATTTTTGTGTTGTGAGAACAACAATTAACTTATAAAATGGCTTTAATATTGTCATCGGCAAAGATGAGAATAGTGCTTTGGTTTTTTTTTTTCGTGTTGTTTTTGTTGATGTTTCCAAATTCAATATAACTATTTTTCCATCTGTTTCCTATGCATAGATTACTTTTTTTTTTTTGATGATCTTATTCTGTTGATCTTATTCTTCTTTGGTTGTCTGTTTTTGTTTGCTTGTGTATCTTTGTGAATTATCATTTAAAATTGGATAAAGAAGAGAAAAAAAGGAAAAGGAAAACAGAGAATATATATTTGCTTCCAGTTAAGTAGTCTTCTTGTAGCACCGCTGATATTTATTCTTTCCACTACGGCTCTAAAAGAGATCTTTTTTTTTTCTGCTTGTCATTTAGGAATGATTCTGTCTGTATATTTATGCGATGAAAGTTGATTGTATGCTTTACATTTTAGTGTAAACTTTGTTTCAGCAGTTTTCCGTATCTTATACATGTGTATGTTTTTTGAGTTTTTATGTGTTTTTTTAGGAAGTTTTCTGCTGTAAGTACTTTGGCTTCTTTTTCTGCATGTACCCAACTGTTATATTATACACATCTGTTGTGCCTGTTGAAGAACACTAATGCACAGTGTTGCTCTGTTCTGATTTTGAACATTTTTTTTTCGGTTTAGTGTGATTTGAAGTACCTGACCATGAAGAACGATATGTTTTCAGCGTAGGTTTAAGTAAGTTATTTGTGCGAGTAAGGATATTTAGAACTACAGTAAGGTCTTTCATTGATTTTAATGGGTACTTCATAATTCTTTGTTTTTTTTTTTTCTCTGTTGTTGTTGTTGTTTCAATTTATGCAAAAAACTTCTTGAAATTGTCTAGAGGAATTGCAACGGGTCGCAGTCTCGTTTTTTTCTGTAGTTTCTAAGGATTTTTTTTATAAAATATTCATAAACACCTGTTGAAGTACTTTGAAAGTTGCCGCTAAAGTTAGCATGATTTCTGTTCTCTTTATTTCTGCTTTTTTCTACACATATTTTGTTTGTGTCGTGGCAACAAGAAAAAAGTGAAAGATAGAACCAGGAGAAAGAAAAAAAAAACAAAGAAGGAAAGTTACATATTTATTTTTTGATGTTCAAAAATAAGTTTCTGTAAATAATTGACTAGTCCAAATGAATACTTAAGAATTGAATTGTTAGCCATAATTAAAAAGTATCAGGAGCCTAGAATGAAGAGATTTTTTTGTGTTTAACTTGTATCGAAGTGCTGGTGATGGAATTTGAAAGTAATGATGTCATTATTGTTTTTCTTAACTGTTTAATACTGTACATTATCGTTGTATGAAATCGTTTTTGTTTGCCTAATATTAAATCCACTTAGTTTAATGAACAATAATGATTCTATGCAATTAAAATAATTCTGAATTTGTCGTTGCCGTAAACAAACAAAGTTTCCAGCATCATAATTTTTTTATACTATCAGAAACTGAATGCATGGAAACTGTTAGAATTTTTGACGATTTTAACCAGCCAGATTATAATGATGAAAAAAGACAGCATTGTAAATTCATTAACTCTCTCTGATTTGCGGTCGATCACAAAGTGGCTTGATTTTTGTAGAACTTATCTCAAAATTTCTGATGGTTCTTACTAAAAATGAAAGAATTGATTTGGAATTATCTGGACAGCATTTAGTTTACACATACTTAATAAAGATGGTCTCAACAAAGTTTTGCCTTACTAATTGTTGATTAGTTTGCCACTACAATCGTCTTGATCAGCTATGAGAAAAAAAGTTGAAAAGAGGCCAAGCAGATGAACAGTGAGGGCAATTGCAGATGTAGGTCAGATAGCGCTACTTTATGCGGTGCGTATTAGGAGAGGTCCGTGGAGATTGGGTAAAGTAGCAGAAGCTTAAGAAACCTAGAAAATTTAAAGCAGGACCGTCAACGTGGAAGTAGCAGCTAACAAATTCAAGGGCGATTCGGTTCTTCTCCCTTGAAATTTTAACAACGCTAATGAATTGGCCACGTCTTTTGCAGCACTTTTACTTAGAATGAAGAGTTGAATATTTGAGCCACCTAGAAACACCAATTTGAATATTTTCAAAAGAGAGTTAGCGCTGAAAGTTTAAATGATTGCTACAAGTTAGTCTATCATGACCAAAAAGTGCTACTGTAACATTTACATGAAGTTTCATTAAGGCTTTTTTGGTTTCGTCAATGTTTTCAATATGGTTTATCACCTGCTATCTGTCAACTTAATCAGTTCATTACTAGATTGTTTTCGTTTTACCTCTATCGCTCTCGGTTTAACTGCTCAAATTCGTCGTGCGCTCTGAAAAATTGCATATTTCTACTCCAGTTGATGCTTCAGTTGGGTTTGGTAAAGTATTCCTTGATGCAATTTTTGCCTCGACAGGAAAGTGAAGCAAATAAAGTTTGCATTTTTATTTTTTTGTAAACTTTTTTTTTTGGATTGGTCATTTGATTAAGAATTCTTGTAGTAATTTTTTCTAATCGTATTTTTGAATATAATCATTTTTTGGTCACTAAAAGTTTCTTCTATTTTTTATAATTTTTTTGTTTTTCTTCTTGCTTTTTTTTTTAATCGTTCCTCTCTGCTTCCTGTATTTTTAACAGAAAATTTTTATCCGCCTTACAGCTTTTATTGTTAGATTCAAAAAAAATCTAGTTTGCGGCCTGAGGAGGAGATAAAAGTAATTAGGCTACTGACTAAACCAGTTGCGACTTTCGAAATCTTGAAAACTGGAGTACCGATTATTGCACGATACAATGTTCTATCCTAAAAAGTACTCAAGAAAATAAAAATTTTAGTTTGGATAACTTCAACAGAACCGTTATCAAGAACTTATTTTTTTTTAATATATCAGTTTCACCTTTCGTTACGCTTCTTGCCACTTAGATAGTTTTTCTAAGATGCAGCAGAGTATGCTGGCAAAAAATAGCCTTTCTTTTGTAGTACCCAGGTCTCTGAAAAAAACTTTGTTAGCTTATAATTTATCTTATTGTCTTTAATTTTTTCACTTTTAAGTACTATTTATGCTGTGCTGTTTGTAGTTTTTCTCACGCTTTTCAGACCTTACTAATTATGCTGTATACATTAAGAACGCTGACGGTTTTCTGTTATCATTCCAGTCGCAACGATAGCCATATTTAAGTTCTCGAGGCTGTTCCACGACTTTTGGAAAGCCATTTGCTACAGAGTTTGACTAAACTACACGACAGTTTCCTCAAAACCTTGCTCAGCCGTCTTTTTTTTCGTCTGTTACTCTTTCTTTTCAAACTTAATCGTCAGTTTTGCATAACTCTTTTTATTTTATCAACGACGAATTAACTGTTTGTCTAAAACGGCTAAAAAAAATTTAAAAGTTGTTTACAGACTGTCATTTTAGATGCGTTCTTACCTACAGCCGCAGTTTCTAAATGATAATGCTATTATCTGAAACGTCTCGGAATTCTCAATCGTTAAAGGTACTGCGGTAGAATATAACAAATAAACTGTTCGTAACAGATTTCTTTTTCACCATATATTATTTGTTACGTGCTAACAAATTATTTGTTAAGTTTTTTTTTATAGCTGCTTGTTTTGAGACTTACATTAATGAACAGTTATGGAATTTGGGTTAACTATTGGCTACTAATTTATGATAATATGAAAGGAGTAAAGGAGTTTCTGATAAACCTACGGTGTAAGACGTTGAAGTATTTTCGCCTTAGTTTAAACGCTAAGCTCCTTTTTGGTTACATTTTTTGATATAACGCTCGCAATTCTAGAAATATATGGTACCCTTATTTATATTGCTTTCATTAAAATCTGCATTCTACAGCGAAGCTTATTGAAACAAAAAAATCACTCTTCCATATCTTGACGTTAGCGATTTTTGCAGGGCAGACCAGAACAGTTGCTGTCATACAGAGATTTTCTTTGATAACCATTCTGCGCGAATTATTCTTGTAATCCCAAGCAAAGCAAGCCGTTCAAGGCTTATTAAGAAATAATGATTTGTTGAGAGTTTCTGGC